GGATAAAGCAGTTTTCTGCGGTGGGTTGAGTAGAGATGTAAAAACCCATTTAATTGGGCCAAACACACTGTTTAACAGGTTAACTGACTACAGGCAGGGGCCAGCTGACGAAAAGGCGAGGGTTAACTGACTAAAAGGTGAGGGCCCCCTCACCTGCCGCTGGGCTGGAATGCCCCTCTCACCCCCAGTGCAGGTAGGTGCTGCGCTGGAGCGGCCCTCTTCAGGGCTGGAGCAGCCTCTTGCCTGCATCAGGTGGGACCGATTAACCAATTAAATCTTCACATGCCTAGTTGTGAGTGTGCTACTGTCCCTGTCTCTGGTTTCCCACTGGAACAAACTGGATCTCCTTGGACACCTTTGCCAATTCACTCAGGAACTGACACAAATGATTCTGGGGAGCCTCGCTCAGAAGTCATCTACTGTCCTGTTACAAAAGCAGGGCTGGGTCCTCACCTCACAGCTGATCTCCCAGTTCAAAATTCAGATGTGCTCAGGCCCAAGCATTTCAGTCAGGCTTCCTCACCAGTTCCAGGCTGAGGTGTCCAAGGAGATCCAGTTTGTTCCAGTGGGAAACCAGAGACAGGGACAGTAGCACGCACCAACCTGCCTGTCAAACAAGCATATGCAGTAGAATGTGAAATTAATAGGATGCCACCTTTATGCATGCCTGGTCTTGTCTAGCCTGCAGCAGATTTGGACAAATGACATTTATTGCTACCTGGTCTGAGCAACTGCCCTGAACTGCATATGATGTGACTAGCACAGCAACATTTCTGAGCCAAGCAGCGGTAGCGAAATCTTGTTCCCGCTACTTAGACATAGGCAAAGAATTTGTTGCAAAAGGATTTTTAAAAACGGCTTGTCATCAAGTTTGCAGAACTGTAGCCTTTTTGCAAACATTCTGACATGATCCAAGTGTGTATGTGTGAGGGGAGGAGGAGGGGTCAACATGCCACATGATCTAGTTGATGGAGCCCAGTGCAGGGAGCCAGCTCTCCCTCCTTTCCCAAGTTCTCTGGAACTGTCTTGCTTCAGCAATGCAGACCCAGCCCTGTTCTTAAGTGGTGGGCAACCTGAGGCCCACGGGCTGCGTGTGGCCCATTGGGATTCCACCTGCGGCCGGCACACTCCCTGTCTGCTCCCCTCCCCCACATGCTTCTCGCACTCTGGCTCCCTAACCCTTCCCCTCCTCCCAGCACTTCCGGCGTGCCGTGAATCCGCTGAGTTGCGCTCCATCCCCATTCCTCCCCCGCCCTCCGCGAGCTTGAATGCTGGGAATCCGCTGTCCGTGATGGTTCAAGCTCAGGGAGGGAGAGGAACGGAGCATGAATCGGAGGATTCAGGGCACTCTGAAGGGGAGTGAGAGGGAGGAGTAAGGGGGCATAGGGGAAGGGGGCAGAGAGCGTGTGCATGGACCTCAGATGGAAGCCCAGTGGGATGCAGGTTGCTCAGCACTGGTCATGAGGTCCACTGAGTGAAAGGAGCTATTCATGCCATCTGCTCACTAGTTTTGGCTGCCCATGGCTGCGGCTGTGTGTTCCTAATGTCTTGAGAAGCCCCAGCACAGTCAGTAGGCCTGCTCATGTGAGTAAGATCTGTTCGCATGAAGACGGGCTTACGGATCAAGTCCACCGCAGTATTGTGATCCCCAGTGTCCTGGAGGTACATAATAAATGTAGCTGCTCCTTGTTACAGCTGGGAACTCTGGAGCCTGGAGGAATGCAGCGACTTGCCCAAGATCACAGAGCAAGTCTAGTTCAAAGAGAGGGTAACAGGAGTCCAGGTTTCTAAATCCAAGCTCCTTCCTTAGTCCTCTAGATCAGACAACCCCTGTGTCTCATTTCCATGTCTGTGAACTGGGGATAATCAGACTTGCAAGCATGTCTCGACGGGATGGAAAGTGCCACCTAGGTGATGGCACATGTGGCTTTTCCGGCTGAACTGGCTTTTCCACCTGCTCCAATGTGACAAGTGGCCCAGCCTAGTCCCAGAGCAGTATGAAATGTCTCAGTGACAGGGTACCAAATCACAGATAGGGGGCAAAACAATTCTTCACACTTAGTTTTGTGGGAAAATGTGCCATCAGTTTTGCCCAGTGTTCTCTGTCTCCTACTCGTTTCAAATGCTGCTTTCTACATCCAAGCCTTGCAAGGGGTCTGTCGGATGCCTGTTGCGAGTGACTGAAGTAAAAGCAAGTTCCTTGCTCACTGTGGTAGTTCCTCAGGGTTTATTTAGAAGGGGAGTCTCAGAACATGTTGGTGTTTCTATTAGTTAGCTGACAGGCCTGCCTGTGGAAGGGTGAAGCTTGTAATAGGAATGAATGGTGATCATTAGCTCTAGTGTGGCTAATGCGTGTGACTGTTCTGCAGAGATGATTACAAACTGTGTGTGTGTGTGTGTGTGTGTGTGTGTGTGTGTGTGTGTACACACACAATTTTATTGAAGTTGAAATGAAACACTGCAGTCAGGTTTTCAGTCTCTTTTAGTATTTGGGGCCTTTGGAGAAGGAAAGTTTCCTTCTGCTAGGGCCCTGTCTGCGGCGGGCCCTCTTCAGGGCTGGAGCAGCCTCTTGCCTGCATCAGGTGGGACCGATTAACCAATTAAATCTTCACATGCCTAGTTGTGAGTGTGCTACTGTCCCTGTCTCTGGTTTCCCACTGGAACAAACTGGATCTCCTTGGACACCTTTGCCAATTCACTCAGGAACTGACACAAAGGATTCTGGGGAGCCTCGCTCAGAAGTCATCTACTGTCCTGTTACAAAAGCAGGGCTGGGTCCTCACCTCACAGCTGATCTCCCAGTTCAAAATTCAGATGTGCTCAGGCCCAAGCATTTCAGTCAGGCTTCCTCACCAGTTCCAGGCTGAGGTGTCCAAGGAGATCCAGTTTGTTCCAGTGGGAAACCAGAGACAGGGACAGTAGCACGCACCAACCTGCCTGTCAAACAAGCATATGCAGTAGAATGTGAAATTAATAGGATGCCACCTTTATGCATGCCTGGTCTTGTCTAGCCTGCAGCAGATTTGGACAAATGACATTTATTGCTACCTGGTCTGAGCAACTGCCCTGAACTGCATATGATGTGACTAGCACAGCAACATTTCTGAGCCAAGCAGCGGTAGCGAAATCTTGTTCCCGCTACTTAGACATAGGCAAAGAATTTGTTGCAAAAGGATTTTTAAAAACGGCTTGTCATCAAGTTTGCAGAACTGTAGCCTTTTTGCAAACATTCTGACATGATCCAAGTGTGTATGTGTGAGGGGAGGAGGAGGGGTCAACATGCCACATGATCTAGTTGATGGAGCCCAGTGCAGGGAGCCAGCTCTCCCTCCTTTCCCAAGTTCTCTGGAACTGTCTTGCTTCAGCAATGCAGACCCAGCCCTGTTCTTAAGTGGTGGGCAACCTGAGGCCCACGGGCTGCGTGTGGCCCATTGGGATTCCACCTGCGGCCGGCACACTCCCTGTCTGCTCCCCTCCCCCACATGCTTCTCGCACTCTGGCTCCCTAACCCTTCCCCTCCTCCCAGCACTTCCGGCGTGCCGTGAATCCGCTGAGTTGCGCTCCATCCCCATTCCTCCCCCGCCCTCCGCGAGCTTGAATGCTGGGAATCCGCTGTCCGTGATGGTTCAAGCTCAGGGAGGGAGAGGAACGGAGCATGAATCGGAGGATTCAGGGCACTCTGAAGGGGAGTGAGAGGGAGGAGTAAGGGGGCATAGGGGAAGGGGGCAGAGAGCGTGTGCATGGACCTCAGATGGAAGCCCAGTGGGATGCAGGTTGCTCAGCACTGGTCATGAGGTCCACTGAGTGAAAGGAGCTATTCATGCCATCTGCTCACTAGTTTTGGCTGCCCATGGCTGCGGCTGTGTGTTCCTAATGTCTTGAGAAGCCCCAGCACAGTCAGTAGGCCTGCTCATGTGAGTAAGATCTGTTCGCATGAAGACGGGCTTACGGATCAAGTCCACCGCAGTATTGTGATCCCCAGTGTCCTGGAGGTACATAATAAATGTAGCTGCTCCTTGTTACAGCTGGGAACTCTGGAGCCTGGAGGAATGCAGCGACTTGCCCAAGATCACAGAGCAAGTCTAGTTCAAAGAGAGGGTAACAGGAGTCCAGGTTTCTAAATCCAAGCTCCTTCCTTAGTCCTCTAGATCAGACAACCCCTGTGTCTCATTTCCATGTCTGTGAACTGGGGATAATCAGACTTGCAAGCATGTCTCGACGGGATGGAAAGTGCCACCTAGGTGATGGCACATGTGGCTTTTCCGGCTGAACTGGCTTTTCCACCTGCTCCAATGTGACAAGTGGCCCAGCCTAGTCCCAGAGCAGTATGAAATGTCTCAGTGACAGGGTACCAAATCACAGATAGGGGGCAAAACAATTCTTCACACTTAGTTTTGTGGGAAAATGTGCCATCAGTTTTGCCCAGTGTTCTCTGTCTCCTACTCGTTTCAAATGCTGCTTTCTACATCCAAGCCTTGCAAGGGGTCTGTCGGATGCCTGTTGCGAGTGACTGAAGTAAAAGCAAGTTCCTTGCTCACTGTGGTAGTTCCTCAGGGTTTATTTAGAAGGGGAGTCTCAGAACATGTTGGTGTTTCTATTAGTTAGCTGACAGGCCTGCCTGTGGAAGGGTGAAGCTTGTAATAGGAATGAATGGTGATCATTAGCTCTAGTGTGGCTAATGCGTGTGACTGTTCTGCAGAGATGATTACAAACTGTGTGTGTGTGTGTGTGTGTGTGTGTGTGTGTGTGTGTGTGTGTAAGAGAGAGCGCCTGATTTACCTCCCGCTTTAAACACATACCTCTGGTTGGGTCTTAAGATGGATAACTGGGAATAAACATGTTAGCGTCTGCTCTGAAACCCACCGTCTTTTGTCTTTCTTCCCGTTTTCTACTGATTAGTTATACTGTGCATAGCAGATGGGTTCTAGTCTCTCTCTCTTTCTCTCTCATACTAAGATCTCTACAATAACTAATACTTCTCTTTTATTTTGTCCTTACAGAAAAGCCAGAGTTGGTATAATGTAAGTACTCCCATTTCTCTTGTCCCTTGGTACATGTGGGGTAGGGTGGGGGAAGGCGGGCTGGGTTAAAAGGGGCTTTGCAATGGCACCGAGGCATGTGGATCGTTTCAGAAAAGGAGGGGTGGAAATGGTTAAGCCGTGAAGGATATCAGACAGAGACTCTGAGAATGAGAGCAGATGGTGTGTCCTCTCAGTCGCAGGGTTCCTGCTGCATGTACAGAGTCAGTCTCTCCAAATCCTCTATCTCATTGGATCTCCTTGGAACAGAAGGAGAGTTTGGCTTTAGATAGCACCAGACAGCGTGACCAGTATATGAAAATGTCCACACCTTTTGGAGTGGGATGGGGCAGAAGGGAATCACCTGCCCACAGAGCTTGCAGGAATATAAACCGGCTTTCATTTTAGCCTTTCTGATTTTTCCTCTTTGTGATGAGTGGCAGCATCCGCAGGCCCAACCCTGTCAGTTTTCAAATTTTCGACAAACAGATAGTGGAAGCTTTTCTTGCACAAGTGAGCTCCGCCCCCCACCCCAAGTGTCTGATAATAGATACCAGCCAGGCCGTGGCGGTGAAGATGAAGTATTAAATTAACACCTTTCATTTAACACCTCCTCTGAAGGATAGTGCCTTGCTAGCAGTTTCTGCACTAATGACTTTTCCTGGGCTTAAGTGGAAGGTGAGAGCGCTTTTTTTGAGGCTATCAGGAGGAAAAAGGGCACATTTTAGAAGGAACGGGCATGTTCCAGGGAATATTGGAAAAGGTTCATGAAAGGGAAACAAAAATGACTAAGCGTATGGAACAGTTTCAGTATGAGGAGAGATTAATAAGACTAGGATTATTCAGCGTGGAAAAGAGATGACTCATGGATATAATAGAGGTCTATAAAATCATGACTGGTGTGGAGAAAGTAAATAAGGAACTAGGGGTCACCAAATTAAATTAATAGAAGCAAGTTTAAAACAAACAAAAAGGAAATATTTTTCATACAGTGCACCAGTCGGCCTGTGGAGCTCATTGCCAGGGGATGTTTTGAAGGTCAATCAGGGTTCAAGACCGAACTAGATAATTTCATGGAGGGAAGGTCCATCAGTGGCTAATAGCAGGGATGGTGTCCTTAGCTCTGTTTGCCAGAAGCTGGGAATGGGTGACGGGTTGGATCACTACGGTTACTTGTTCTATTCATTCAGGTGGCCACCTGGCTTAGTTCAATGGGTCTCCCAAACGGGGCTGCCCCACCAAAAAACTCCTCAGCAGTTGTAATGAAGGTGTGGGGGGACTCTGTTGGTAGCTCATTAGGGAGGCCAAGGACTGAATAAAACATGGCCATTGAACTTTCCTCCTTCCCCAGGTGGTCTCTGCAGGTCATGGGGAAAACACATGGCTGGGCTGCTTTGTTTACTTTCCCTTTTCCGAGGATAAATGGACGTCAGAGCCAGATTTTCAAAGGAGCTCAGCTCCTCTTTAGACACCAAAGTGAAGCGTTGAGTAACGAGGTACTCCCATAAACAGACAGCAGCAGCTATTGGTAGCTGAATACTTGAAAAAACCTGGCCCTGAAACTCCTGAGTTGTGGATATGGCCCTTTTTACCAGCAACACGCTTGTTAAAGGCATGTGTTCTTGGCAGTTTTGGACAGGACTGAAGCATCGGGCAGGAGGTCTGCCAGGGATGCCCGAGAGGGTCATTAACAGAAATCCGTGTAAGACTCAATATCTTTTATCACCGCCCCTCAAACTGAGTTTGCCATGTCTCCAGAGCACATGAAAGCAGAAATGTAACTGAGAGTCCTGCACTGGGAAATGAAAGGTTTTGCCTTTCTCTGTTTCTTCCTCACAAGGGATCTGGAAAAAAAGTCATACATGGGATCTGAGTGTGTGTGAAAGCATTAACCAGGAGGGCAGAACCATGCAGAAGAATCTTCATAACAAATTAAATCAATGGGAGTTAGCCCCTAAATACTTTTAAAAATCTCGACATGTGTCCTCTATCCAGCAGTCAACCTCTGTTCAGTAAAGCTCTTAAAACATGTGCTTGGCGCTGGACACACACTGAAAGCTAAGCACATCCTCAAGTGGTTTGTTGAAGGATGGATTTAATGGGTGGTGTCTATGCTTTGTTTAATTGGGCCCTTCAGCTCCTTGATTAAGGGTTGCCCAGTCTTCTGGTGTAGACTGCCTGCTAACTCACCAGTGATTAGACCAGGCTTGCTTGGCTTCATGCTTCCCAAGCTGCAGGCTCTCCTGGCTCCAGAACTCCCAGCAGATTTCAGTGTATTATTGCCAACTACAGTATTGTATTTTGACAAGGCAGAGTAAAGTTTAAAAAGAAACAAAAGACAAACCTGGAACTAGAGCCAAAAATGTCTATAGGTACGTGAGCCTACCAGGAATTCTTATTTCTGTTTCCCTCGCTCCTCCCAGAGCATCTCAAGAGTCTTCTTGTCCTCCAGCCTCATTTGGGGGGGGAGGGGGGCAGCTAGAAGAATTGTGGGATCCATCTAGCCAGCCTGTGAGGATCTGATACAGACCTCTAATGCCCATCTACTGTGGAGTATGATGGATTTGGAGCCAACACACATAGGAACCTTGCTACTAGAGAAAGCAAAGCATTGGATCCCTCTTAACCTGGGAGCCTAGACCCCAAAGGGGTTGTAGCAAGGAGATACCCTAGAAACTGAGCCCATATCTGGCTAATTCCGCTGTTGAGCTCTCTGCACATCATAGTCATGCAGCACTTGCATTTTTTGTGTGCACTGAATCATGGAAATCAGAGATTCACCATGTTGTAACCAAGTATCCTTCCTCCAAAGTTCCCATCCTCAGAAGAGACTGCTGTCTTCTCTGGGAGAGTGAGGCTGCGGCAGGAACTTGCATCTTGTACAGTTCGAAAGACACCAACATTTTCCAGACACTTTCATTTTTTCCTTCGCTCTCCTCCTTTGCACATCTGCCTGGCCACCACTTCCTGTTGTCACCATTATTGTATTTATTTTTAAATCCTCCCTATCTCTGAAATCAAATCTCTTTGCTGGGTAGTTTAGCTCTGAAATGAGTTTTGGTTTGAAATCAGAATTTTCCCCAGGAGAGATGGGTTGTAGATGAAAACAGGTCTCGTTGGGAGGACACAGCGTGGAATAAAGATATGTAGGGGTGAAGATGGCAATACAGGCAGAAAACAAGCAACCTCTTCCTATTGACATCAATGACCAAACTCCCTTTGACTCCAGTGGGAACTGGTGTGGCTCCAGTATGCACAGGCCAGGCAGGAGAGGGACAGAAGCAAGGTCAGGAGAACATCTGGCTAAAGAGACAGTGTAGACAGATGGTGTTAGCAAGTGGTCAGAGAGACAGACGGGGTTGGGACAGACATGACCTGCTGATGGTAAGAAAATGGGTAAGTGATCACCAGTATGGCGAGCAGGTTGGATTGAACAGAAAGGTGGGGGATGCTTAGACACCCAGAATGCAGACAGGTGCATGAGGAGGTGACATGAAGATGCATGTAAAGAAGTCAGTAACTACAGCTGAAGGTGGCATTGTATTTTCTATAAGCCGCTTATTTCTATGGCTGCTGGGAGCCATCTCCTGCTGCATGATGCTTTGGTGTGATGTGCTTCTGTGGTTCTCTCATGGTTTTGTGTCTGCTCTACCTTATCTTTCTGTTCTCTTGTTTTTCCTCCATGTATTTTCAGCATGAAAGACAGCACATCCGGAGAGTAAGCACTGGCTGCGTTCTGCCGGGTTTATTTTTCCTTTTCTTTTTTAGTTCTAGTCCAGAAATGCATCATGGCCAGATGAAAGCAGCAATGTGGAAATGGGCGTAGGCCCCCTGAACTCCAGGAGAGGAATCGGTGTTAGTGATAGTGTAACAATTGTCAGTAATTTGCTCCTGCTTTGAATTGCATTGGGCAAGCCCCTCCAACAAGTGACTGGGATCTCCAGTGCTGGGGACTTTTCCTTCCTCTCTCCTCCGGGGACAGATCCATTCATAAAAGTCCATCTCGAAGGAGGCCACCTTTGGTGTAGTCTTGGAGTTTGGTCAGCTGTAGGGTGTGTCTTTAAACCCGCACACATGAAACACAGATACACCTGTATTCACTGCACGCTGACTCGATCTTACCCTCACTTATGGAGCCTTGTGCCCCCTGGGCGTTCAAATCTTCCCTGACGCACACATGCCCCGTTGGGTCATATTAGAACATGGGCCTTGGCGGTGGAGGGTGTAGTCTTGGAGTTTGGTCAGCTGTAGGGTGTGTCTTTAAACCCGCACACATGAAACACAGATACACCTGTATTCACTGCACGCTGACTCGATCTTACCCTCACTTATGGAGCCTTGTGCCCCCTGGGCGTTCAAATCTTCCCTGACGCACACATGCCCCGTTGGGTCATATTAGAACATGGGCCTTGGCGGTGGAGGCTTC